ACAGACTAGCCTAGGATGTAGGGCAGGTCTAGGGATCGAATCCTACTCAGGTCACTGGGTCTATGTACAGGTATAGGATAGGTCTAGGGATCGAATCTCACTCAGCACACAGCTTCAATGTACAGGGTCAGGGCACAGGTCTGGGGATCGAATCTCTGTGTCTGCAAAGTCGGGTCAACTGAGTGAAACCATTTCACTCCCGCCGTCCTAAATTCGAGGTCCTCCGAGAACACTCTAGCTCAAGGTAGGACCTTTGCCCTTTCTTTCCCTCTCATAGGCGTGCACTATGTCAGGAGCAGTTTCTAGAAGCTCTGTTCTTGTAAACCATCGGTCGTCCTCGGGTTTCTGGTATGCGAACCTAACCTTATACTGTTTCTGGGGACGACCTCGACCTCCTGTCCTAAACACGTCCTCTTCCACTATGTGATCTGTGTCATATGCACCGTCCATGTCTGGCGGAATCATTGACCTTCGGGAAGGAAATCCGTCGGACGTGGTGCAAGGTAGCAACTTGGACGCATGGAAGACTGGGTATGTGTGGAGGTGTGCTGGGATTTCTATTGTGTAAGACGGGTCGTCCTCTCCTCCCTTGACTTCTAGGACAAGCCATGGTCCTCTATACGCAGGTAGGAGCTTTTGCGAGATGTTTTCCTCTGGTGCAAACTACTTTGACTTGACCCAGACTAGATCGCCTACCTGAAATCGTGAAGGTCGGCGGTGCTTGTTAGCTTGCTCTATCATCCGATGTTGGGCTTTTCTCAGATTGTCTATGACCTTAGCGACTTCCTGCTCATGCTGCAACGCAAATTCTCGCGTGTCGGGTGGTAGTCTTTGTATCTAGTCCCAGTTTAGTCCCTCAAATGGTCGCCTAGGTCTAAAGGACTTATGTAGCTCATTAGGAGTCCTGCAAGTACCTAGGTGGACACTATTATTGTAGGCGCTTCCTACTTTGGGAAGCATCTCATCCCAGTTTACCTGATCTGGTCTAACATACATTCTGAGTAGCTGTTGCAACATCTTATTCATCTGTTATGTCTGGTCGTTAGTCTTTGGGTGTCGTCCTGACGACATCAACAACTTAGAGCCATAGACTTTCATAAGATCCTGCCAATTCTGACTAGTAAACCGCGTGTCCCTATCACCTATCACTTACTATGGACAGCGGCATGCCATGCTCGCTTACTTAGACTAAGTTTGTACGTGCCTCTGAAGGCAGGGGAACAAATATTGCATACTTACTAAATCGGTCTACTATGACCATGACTTGAGTTTTGCCATGCCTGCTTCTGACTCTGGTATCGATGAAGTCGATGGAAACTGAATCTCCGGGTCCTAATGGAATAGGCAAGGGTCTAAGAAGACCTAGAGGGGCCCTCGTTGTAGTTTTGTTGCGCTGACATACCTTGCAGCTGCGCACATACTCTATGCAGTCTGCTTTCATTCCTGGCCATGTATATGACATCATCAGGTTAGCTAAGGTCTTCTGCCATCCGAAGTGTCCTTCTGTATCGTGGCATTCCCCTAAGATCAGACTATGGATCTCTTCACTGTTGGGGACGCATAATCTGTCAGCAACATTGGTCTTCTCAAACAGTAGCCTGTTCGTGGTTCGGTAGTGGGGCTCACTATCTAGGGCTTCTTTTACTCTCTTCAGCAGCTCACTGTAGATCGGGTCTGGTGCATAGGCGTCTCTTACTTTCTGTTGCAGATCGGCCCCTATGTCTAGATAGTGTACTATCGCGCCGAAGTAATCAGCTCTCCCTCTCAGAGCATCAGCTACCACGTTATACTTTCCTTTTACAGGCGTTAACTCAAAGTCAAATTGGTCTATCTCAGCAGCCCATCTAGTCAACTTGGGCGTCATCTTGGCCTGTGTCTTTGGCCATCTAAGAGTCTCGTGATCAGAATATACCTTGAAGTGCCTCCCACGCAAGTAGTGTTTCCAGTGATCTAAGGCCTGCCTGAGAGCGTAGAGTTCCCTCTCATATGTCGATGCTGCAACTTTCTCTGAGGGCAGCCTGGCTGACATGAACTCTACGGGCCTATAACCGTTGCCGTCATCTTGCTGTAGAAAGACACCTATGCCATACTGACTAGCGTCTGTCGTGACGACAAATGGTAATGACGGATCAACAACTTTGAGGACAGGGTACTCTATTAAAGCCTTCTTCAATTTCTTGAAGGCTGACGTACAATCCTGGTCCCACTTCCAGACAGTCTCTTTCTTCAGCAACCTACGAAGGAGAGCAGCGATCGTGGAGAAGTTCCTCACGAACTTCCTATAGTAGTTAGCAAGTTCTAAGAATGAGTGCAACTCTGTCAGCGTCTTAGGAGTTGGCCAGTCTCTAATGGACGCAATCTTGTTGTCCTTGGGCCGAATGTCGTCGCCGTCTAGTACATGGCCTAGGTAAAGGACCTTTGTCTTGGCCCATTCACACTTCTTCGGGTTAATCTTGAAGTTAGACTCTCTTAGCTTGCTTAGAATCTGCCATAGATGGCCCTCGTGTTCCGCGAGGGTCTTGCTGAACACTAAGATGTCGTCTAAATAAACTACGAGGAATCTATCTAACCATGGTCTAAACAAGTCGTTCATACAGCGCTGGAATGTTGTCGGTGCATTAGTAAGTCCAAACGACATCACTATGAACTCGTAATGCCCATACCTTGTCATGAACACCGTCTTGTACTGATCATCCGAATGCACTTCTATCTGATGGTACCCCGATTTCAGATCTATCTTTGAGAAGTACCTGCATCCCTGCACTCAATCTAACAAGTCATCCATACGCGGTAATGGCTCTGCATTCTTGATTGTGATGGTGTTTAGTCCCCTGTGGTCTATACACATGCGTAACTCTCCCTCCTTCCTTGGGACTAACAGAATAGGTACGCCAAACAGTGACGAGCTAGGCCTGATCCATCCTTTCTCTAGGAGCTCATCTAACTGTCTACGAAGCTCCTCTAAATCCTTACGAGATATCCTATAGACTGCCCCCTTAGGTGTTCTGCTGCCAGGTTCTATCTCTATGCGATGCTGGATCGCTCTGGGCACTACTGTTGAAGGTGCTTCGGATAGGTCTTTGTACTCTTCCAGCAAACTTGCGATAGTTGGATGGATATTTTCTTCTTCCCTTGGCTCGACAGAAATCGGTCTTACATAGGCTACGAACACCTTCTCTTCGAGAAGCTCTTTTCGCACAGGTCTGGCGAACGCAGGAGCGTTGAGGCGGCAATGGGCGAGGGGATTATCTACCCTGGACTCATGGAACAGGCGGACTTGCTTGACTTCGTCTGACGCGCTAGGGAGCCTACACTCGTGCTCTCTAAGGTGAAGTGTGGCTCCTGCTGCCTCTCCCCAATCTGTGCCTAAGACAATGTCAAACGGGAGACTCTCTTCTACGAGGAGGGTCACGGAGTGCAGTACTTTCTCTACCTTTCCATCTTTCTTGAGGCGAAAGTAGGCGTGGACCCCCTCAACATACTCTTCAACGCGCATCCTGCTATTGTTTGCGAGGATGCTGACTACAGGGTCCTCTAATCGTTGGACCTTTAGATTTAGCTTCAACTTCTTCAGCGCTTTACGACTGATATAACTCCTAGTAGCTCCACTGTCTATCAGGGCTCCTACCCTTGCTCTAAAGATCTCTACGTTTGTGAGGATCGGTTATCCTTTACTATCCTTCTTCATCTTGGCCCAGGCTTGCCTCCTCTCTCTCAACTCTTCAGTTAAGTCTGTGAGGGAAACGTCTAGAGAGACCCTAACACAAGCAGTCTCTGGACAACTTACTAGACGCCGGCCTGCAACCTCTGCCATGGAGATATGTGGAGTGGGAGACTCTACTTCGCGCGCACGCTCAGATCCACATAGTCCTGGGGTAGGGTCAGTTGCAACCCCTACCGGCGGCTGTATTTTGCTGCCCCAAATGCAGCACGGTCCGTATACTTAGGACAAAATTTTATGATGTGGCCTAGGTCCCTTCAGAATACGCACTGAGAACTGTTAATGTGTTCTTGCCATACACCCTTCTCTATACCCAGATCTTCCCAGGGTCGGCCCTCGGGCCGGGCTGGGTGCCACCATCCCTGCCTGGGGGGTGACCGACTAAAACGAGGACGGTTAGACGGGGGACCTCCCCTTCCTCCCGCTTGGCGGGTTGCCATTGCCGCCAACCCCCTGGCCGCCCTGTCCTCGACCACTCTGGGCCCGACCATTATGACCGGACCTTTGTCCTCCTCCTTGCGGCCTCCCTCCGGCCGCGACAGCAGCGTAGGTTCTCCCCTGACCAGAGCTATTGTCCTGCTCCTCTAGTCCCCACTCGATGTCAGAGTATGGAACCTCGTCATCACCACCTTTTTCCATTGTTAGTATTAAACTATCTTTGGCCTTGATTTGGCCTGAGATGGTGCGTCCCTTCCACGTTTTTCCCTGTGACAGATCCTTGTGCCAGAACGTGGTAACTGGCGACGCTTGGGCGGCAAATGCAACTGCCTCCCCACTGAGAATATCGTAGGTCATGCCCTGCTGATTCTTTTTCTCAAAGAAATATCCCTGAATGTTCTCAAGGAGGGCACGATAAAAGAGTTGGATTATTTGGGCATCGGTTACTCCATGCCCAGGAACAACAATTAGTTCATCCATAGTAGATTTGAGGGCATGCACACTCCTCCACTTTCGCGTGTGGATCATTTGGAGTTTGTCGGAGGCTTTGAGCCCCCGCGTAACATCTGAGAATCGCTCCTTGAGCGATTTCAGGAACTCAAAGAGGGGTGTTAGTCTAGAATAAGTGACCATATCGTTCTCGCAGTTGGCAGCGCGGGCGAGCGACCTAGCAAAACTGGTCGCCTCATCTCGAAGGGCCTGGAAGGCCACCAAAGTGTGGTCCTCAGGCATGACTCCTTGTAAGTACAGATAGGAGCGCACGTTGGCCTCCCAGTTATCGAAATCCTCTCACTTCTTTCCACTGAAGGGTTCGGGGAAACGAACTTTGACCTTCTCGCGACGTGGTGGGGCTGGCTCCTCTTCCTTAGGAGCCGCTAACTTGGCGCCTTCAATGGCGCCCTGCAGAATTCCTTAGTCTTACTAATCGCCAGGTGGACCTGGTCCACCTGGTACTTCATCATATCACGCGCAATATCTTTAAACCCAACACGTATCACATCTATCTTTACATCTAGGCTGCAGATGTACTGCATTTGCTCACGATGTGCAATTGGTAAAGATTCCACACTCTGGGTCAAGGTATCGAGTTTAGTGGCTATCTCAATCTCTTCCTTGATCTTCCCCATCCTAGTCTCCGCCGCTTTCAGGTCCTTTTCTGCTTGCTCCGCCGCCTCCAAACGCCCAACTCTTTCTTGGGACAAACGCCACTTCCATGCCATTTGCTGTTCCTCCTCTTTCGCCTTTCTCCTCACCGGGTCCCTCTCTGCTTCTAACTCTCTCCTTGCTGCTTCTCTTTCTGCTTGGGGTATGGCCAGCTCGGTCTCCCTATCTTCTCCCAGCTCCAAATGTGCGGTCCATTCTTGTGTTGTCTTTTCAATCTTCTCCTTCTTACTCGTACCGGTTCCACCTCTTCTCCGTTCCAACGGTACTTCTTCCTCAACCTGCTTTTCTTCTCCTTCTTCTTTCTCCACCTCCGCTTGTATAGCCGCCATCTTCTCCACCTGTTCCTTCGTGCATTTCTTCAACTCCTCCTCCACCAGCTTCGTCTTCACTTCTTGCTCCTCCAGTAGGGCCGGCATCTTGGCCTACTTAATCAGTTCCCTCTTCTCCATTCTCTCCTTCCTCTCTCGCAGGATAGCGACAACTCTCTCCTCTTGCTCCTTGCTGTAGGGGGTGGTACTAGTTCCAGACCTGAGGTCCACCATGGTGACGGTGCACAATCAACAACAATTTCACGGCTCAACACGTAGACCAAGCAGGTTAACTTCTATCGAGGGGTCTTGACTCACTACTCGGGCTAGACTTACGGTTCTATGACCACAATCACAGCGTCCTACCGACCTGGACAGAACTAACAGGGAGATATGACTGACTGATCTTGATAGACTTGACGTCAGCAAGTACCAGGGTGAAGGTGCACATCCACGGGGTAAGGGATAGGCCAGGGCATGGAGAGATGGTACCGGTAATCTTCTCGCTCCGGTCAACGGTCTTGTCCAACTCGCCGGTCAACGCTCCTTGTCAACGTCGTGGTCAACTTCGACCAACGCCTGGTCAACGCTCTTGGTCAACCCTTGGTCAACACCCGGTCAACGTTGGTTTACTCGCGGTCAACGTTGGTCAGCTCTCGGTCAACGTTGGTCAACTCCCCTGGTCAACCTTCAAACCTCCCGGCTATGGTGGACCTTCTTCTTCTTCGTCAATACCTTCGTCCTCTTCACCTTGGCTATGGCTGACTTCGCCTCCCTCTTCGTCACTTTCTTCTTCCTTCTCTCCATGTCTATCTCTTTCTTCTCACTGATTGTCTTCTTTCCCGAGCTTGGCAGCTATGGCTGCCGTCCCCCCTTCTCTCTCTCTTCCTCTCTCTCTCTCTCTCTGTGCCGAGCTCCGGCTATGGCGGCTTCTTCCTTCTTCCAACTCGCTGCTGCAGCTCCGCCGGCGTGGACAACGGGTACCAGCTCTGATACCAATGCAATCAGACTCGACCCTGGACTTGCTCACAACATGCACACTTGAAAACTGATGGCAAAACCGAACTCTTCCAACTCAGAAACAACAATGAACTTGTATTAAACTCAGTCTGAACCAACTGTACAACTTGCAGCTATGGTCGCCGAACACTGTCTCTACCACCAGCCTCCCTCTCCCTCACTCTCGCATGCACGCACGTACGAGGATCATCCTGAACGTCCACGCTACACAGCCACACACACTCTGTACACTCCGTCTACACCAACAGCTGGGTGGCTATGGCCACCGTCGTCTTCCTCCTCTGAGCTATGGCCGCCGGTGTCTCCCTCGCTGGTTCGCTATGGTCGCTGTCTTCTTCACGGCCCACTTCTTCTCCGGGCACCTGCAGTCCTCCACGCACAAGATACCAAGGCAGCTCTTCCGCATGGCACACAGGCGAATGAATGAATGGCTGGACGCTACCTCTTTATTCATACCTCTTTGGAGGTACCTGGGCCTGCCTCAAAACGTGTGGGCCTGGGCCAAAACGTGTAGCCCAGGGAAGTTTCCAGACGTTTGGCCTTCTCGGCCAAAACGTGTGAAACCCACAGCGTGCTCCAGAACCTTCTTCCCCACGTGCAGCCCCTACCCCTGGTACTTGCTGACTGGACTGGCCTACAGGGACCTACGACCTTCTAGAGCCTACAGACTTACAGACAGACTCTAGGCATCAGTAGACTCAAATAGAGACGTCTAGAACAGACCTTCCTAAGCCTAACGGTAACAGACCTAACTCAATCTACAGACCTAGGGCCCAAGTCCTACTGTCCGACCTACAGACAAGTCCTACTCTCCGACCTACAGACTAGCCTAGGATGTAGGGCAGGTCTAGGGATCGAATCCTACTCAGGTCACTGGGTCTATGTATAGGTATAGGATAGGTCTAGGGATCGAATCTCACTCAGCACAGAGTCAATGTACAGGGTTAGGGCACATGTCTGGGGATCGAATTTCTGTGTCTGCAAAGTCGGGTCAACTGAGTGAAACCGTTTCAATTCAGATTCGTACACCTTTATTAGCTGCTAGCCTGCTGCCAGCCTGCCACTACTCTCCCGTAAATCTAACGTCCCTATTACTAATATGGTCAAAGGATGCTCATTATCCTTTACCCAATGTGTGAAAGAATTCACAAATAACAAGATCTGACTTTGCCCCTGGTGGCACTGGAACGGATTTCGCATACTTGCGCTATATCTATCAACAATTACCATGGCCTTCATATTACATATAGAGACTGGTTCTCCGGGTATAGAGGGAACGATCAATGGTTTTAGCAGTCCTAGGGCACCTGAGTTGTAATCTTGTTCCTTTGACAATACTTTACATCCCTGGATACATCTGATGCAGGCGCGGATCTCATTCCTGCCCCCCATGTATACAACTTAAAGTGAAGTAGATTGGTATAAGCCGTGGCATTTTCGAGCACTATACTACGAACTTCCTCCTCTCTATCCAGGATGCATGCACAAGCTGTCTTCTCCATTGGATGTGAGGAAGAGTAGTCCGACTATTTGGTATTCGCGCACTTGGTGATGCTTTTCTCTTAACCTACCGTCTTCACCCGAATAGAACCTCCGGTCATTATAGCCGTATTTGGGGCAACTTTCAGTCTAGATGCAGCCATAATGACCGGGCATTCTATTTGGGTGAAGGCGGTAGCCATAATGTCACTAATTACTCCGTCGGGATCTTTTGTTGTTGTTTTTTTCTTGCATTGATGTAGGTGACTATTGTTCCAATGAAGTCTGCTCTCCTAGATAAGGCATCATCAACTACATTACAGTTCACCTTGACTGATTTTAACTCAAAGTCAAACTTATGTATCTCCTGCACACCCATCTAGTTAGCTCCGTTGACATTCTTTCTTCTTTTTTTTTTTAATAAACGGGCCCAGTACCCAAGGATGATATTACCAGCTAGCTGCCTTTTCAACCAACTTAAAGTTTCGAGATCTGAGCACCCCTTGAAGAAGTGCCTACCGAGGAGATAATGTCACCATGTCTTCAATGGGTCATACAACGCGCATAGTTCTCTCTCGTACATGGATGCAGCTCCTCTCTTGGATGACAACTGCCTCGACATGAATTCTATTGCGCAATATCTCTTGCCACCATCTTGCTGTAAATTGCCCCTACCCAAACTTGCGTTAGTTGCAACTACGAACAGTAGGGAGGGTCTGCAATTTTCAAGATTGTTTACTCTATCAACGCCTGTAAATTTCGATCTACAGTCTTTGTCGCACTACCACAGAGCTTCCTTCTTCAACACTCTACGGTAGTGTAGCTGCAATTGTAGTAAATCTCTGTATGAATTTCCGGGAGTAATTTGCTAATCCTAGGAACAAACACAGTTCAGTGAGGAGTCTTTAGACTAGTTGGCCTATGTTTTTTGTAAGTGGTGCTCTCTTGTCATCCTCGGGCTGCACTCCGTCTCCATCTATCATGTGACTCAAAAACAACACTTGCCACTTGGCCCATTTGCACTTCTTCGAGTTCACTCTGATTTTCCGTTCCAG